CCTATGCCAGGGGCTTGAAAATACAATTAATGTTTCACAACAGGTTTAGACGACATCACCGCCGCAGCGGTCCGAGGCCCGGCGGTGATTATTCATGAATGTAAATCATATGCATGCATAAGTGAGGCATGCTTTTGAAGTGGCTCGAGCCCAGAAATGTGCAATAGTTGGGCTAAAGACAATAGCCGTGCTCCAAAGGACGGCAGATGAGCCTGAAGAGGTTCATTGTATTGATGTATCCCAGAGCAAAGGCTCAACTCGCTCGCGTTGTGTGAGGTCGCCAAACTGGGGCGAGGCGTTCCGTCGCCGAAGCGCTGGCAGGCCAACGCGGAAAGCCTCTTCGAGCACTCTCTGCCCCCTTCCTCTGTTGAATAAGGGTTACAGGGACTCTCTGTGCGCAATATGCCTCGTTGCGGGGGCGGGGGTGGGGGGGACCCAGCAGATGCAGGGGCTCCTCTTCAAATTCCTGGCTTCATAATGGATGCAAACAGAGAGCATCATAGGTGTACGGCATGATATTTTGTGGCTGCTAATGGACTCCATCTGAGCACACGCTGTGATAATTTGAAAGAACATAACATCAAATTTCCATTTAATGAAGAGCTCCACGTTCTGTCGGGGGGGGGGACAGAAAAGAAAGCCCCCGTCGAAGATCAGAGTATGTTTCCTGCACAATTAACATCTTTTTCCCACTAGCGATAACATGTTCAATAACTAGCTACTTTGCCCGTTCAGGAGGCCCATGAAAGCATGCTATTAATAAATTCCCCCTTCTTGTCTTTCACCGCGTTTGTTTCTAAGTAGGCAGTTCAATTGAATGTGTTTATCATTTCCCCATTTCGGGCTTAATTTAATCCTTTTGAAACAACAATTATTTCAAATTTATGCGGCGTTCAGGCTTTCTCTGCACACGGCAACTCCAATTTTCTGTTTACCCAGAACGGGGGAAGTTAATGCATCTCTAAAAGCAAGTCAGGGTGAGAAAGAGCTACTCTAGAATTTTTTAATTTTGGCATTTAAGCAGTTATTGAATATAAAAAAGGGGACTATTCCATCTGCGCGCCCTCAAAAAACGATAAGGCTTTCTGGCATAAGGGACGGAAGGCAAAAGCCGCTGGACTGATGTTCAGACCACTTTCAGACCGATTTCCCACAGGCAGCTGCACCGCCCTCACTCTTCCCTTCCCCCAATTGTATTTGTCAATTTCCCACTACTTGTTGCTCGGCTGCATTTTGACCCGCAGCATCCCCCAATTTCCCCCATGTCTTCTCGATCTCAAAAAACACGCTGGTGCATGAAGCAGTGTGCTGTAGTGGTTAGAGCATTGGACAAGGATCTGGGAGACCCAGGTTTGAATCCCCACTCGGCCACTGAAACTTGCTGGGTGACCTTGGATCAGTCACAAACATTCTACTTTGCGAGCTGCTGGCATTAAACTTGTAAGCAGGGCTCTTTTTGTAGAAAAAGCCCAGCAGGAACTCATTAGCATAATAGGCCACACCCAACAACAGAAACTCATTAGCATATTGGGCCACACCCCTGACAGCACAGCTCATTAGCACATTAGGCCGCACCAACATGTTACCAGAAGTGTGGTCATCCAGCCACACTCACCTTCTGCTTGTTATTCTGTTTACCTTGTTTGTTGTCAAAACCCAGGGCCTTTTTTGTAGCAGGAACTCCTTTGCATGTTAGGCCACATACCCCTAATGTAGCCAATCCGAATGAGTTTCTGCTGTTGGGTGTGGCCTTTTATGCTAATGAGTTCCTGCTGGGCGTGGCCAACTTGGGAGCCAGCCGAAACTCCGTTCCTGTGCGTTCCTGCCCAAAAATAGCCCTGCTTATAAGCAAGTGGTTTGGCTACTTCATAAATTAGTTTGCTCTGGAGCCATCCTTCCTAAGCTAAGACAAAAATGTGTGAACCAGAGGCTGAAAAACTGTGAGCTAGCTCACACTAACTCAGTTTAGAGGGAACACTGAACCTACCTTGCCGGTTTATTGTGAGGATAAGGCTGTAAGCTGTTTTGGTCTCTTTCACGAAGAAGAAGAGAAGAGATTGGATTTATACCCCGTCCTTCACTAAACGAAGGAGTCTCAGAGAGGTTTACAATCTCCTTTACCTTCCCCTCCCCACAAGAGACACCCTGCGAGGTAGGTGGAGCTGAGAGTTCTTTCAAGGACTGCTTGTGAGAGAGAAGCTCTGAAAGAACTTATGACTGACCCAAGGTCACACCAGCAGCTGCATGTGAAGGAGTGGGGAATCAAATCCAGTTCTCCCAGATTAGGGCCTGCGCCCCTAACCACTGCACCAAACTGGGTATAAACAAAGCAGATAAATAAATGAATACTGGCCATTAGCCTGTTAAAGCTCTGGGCAGTCGAAACAGCCCACAGATTTCCAGGGTTTCAGGCTGAGAAGGGTCCTCTGTTACCTAAGATACTTGAACTGAATGTAGATGCCAAAGATTGAACTGGAGACTGCCTGGGCCGTCCTGCTAAATACAGTCCCCCGCCAGCTATTTATTGGATGGAGGGAAGCTAAGGTGAAAACAGCAGGGCATTTACCAAGGGGTAACTTACACCGGTATCCACGCAACCCCTTGGTAAACTGGTAATCAGGTTTCTCTTGCCAAGTAGGAAGGAGAATTCTACCTGACTTTTGTGCCTGACGAGAAATCGGGGAAGGTTTTTTTCTCCTTTTTGGCCTCTTGCAACTTTATGTTGTACGCTTCAAAAACAAAGAAATAGTGCAGTAAAGATTAAAATGGTGTAGGGCGAGAAATCTGGAGAAGATGCCAGTGTGCCTGTGAGGAAAGTTTACCTCTTCAATACTTCTGGTGTAGTGGTTAAGTACGCGGACTCTAATCTGGGAGAACTAGGTTTGATTCCCCACTCCTCCACTTGCAGCTGCTGGATGACCTTGGGCAAGCCATAGTTCTGGTAGAGCTGTTCTCTCAAGGACAGTTTTCTCAGAGCTCTCTCAGCCCCACCTACTTCACAGGGTGTCTGTTGTGGGGAGGGGAAGGGAAATGAGTTTGTAAGCCGCTCTGAGACTCCAAGTGAAGGGCGGGGTATAAATCCAATCTCTTCTTCTTCTTCTCCTCCTCCTTCTCCTCCTCTATAGGTCTCTTCCCAGCCTAGTCTGGAACAGGTTTTCTCAGAAAAATGGGTGCACAGCAGCCCCGTAGCTAGGGAGTTTTGGGGGAGGGGGCCTTGGGGGGCCCCCAACAGCTAATTACATCAAAGGCTCCAGGGCAAGGGGGGTCTGCTTGGCATGCAGCCACACAGCCCCCACTAGAGCCTTCCTATAAGGCGAGCCAGAATCCCAGTGTTAATAGACACTAAAACGTCCAGGAAAGCTGCTGTGTTTAAAAAAAAAAAGGAGAGCGGGGATCAAGTTTCCTCCCTCACTCCTTCCCTGAGCCCATGATCGTTTCTGAAGCCTGGAGCAGAAAATCCAACAGGAGGCACGAACTGCCGCAATCCGACCCATGTGTGTGTGACTCGGTCAACCACCGGTTGCTGCTGGGTCCTAAAGAGACTCATTTCGTCTCAGATGAGCTCAAACAGGGAGATGCCGGCTCAGATCGATCAGGGGGTGAGGGGGCCGGAGGGAGGGGGAGCTGAAGATGGGGGGAGGGGCCCGCAAAAACAGCGGGGAGGGGCGGGCCCCATGGGCCCCACGTTAGCTACGGGCCTGGTGCACGGAAACCACATAAATGCACCCATTTATCTTAGAAAACTTGATCCAAACCAGGTTGCTTATAAAAGGAAGAGGAAAATCAGGCTGGATTTACAATGCCATCCTAAATAGAGTTAAACCCTCCTAAACCTATTGAAGTTAACAGGATTAGAAGGGTGCAACTCTGTTCAGGATGGCACTGCCACTCTGTCAATGGCTGTAAATTAGGACTGCCCACTCCATGTCGGGAAATTCCTAGAGATTGAGGGGTGGAGCCTGGAGAGGGTGGGGTTTGGGGAGACGGCGCCCTCAGCGGGTGGTGGTGGAAAGTACCATCAAGCCCTCAGGCGGGGTTTAATGCCATAAACCCCACCCTCCAAAGCCGCTATTTTCTCCAGAGGAACAGAGCTCTGTTACCTGGGGATCAGTTGTAATTCTGGGAGCTCTCCAGGCCCCACCTGGAGGCTGGCAACCCTACTGTAAATGGATCTTCCACGTTCAGAGGTATTCTCTCTCTGAATACCAGGTGCTGGAATAGACAACAGGAGAGGGCTTTAAGAACATAAGAGAAGCCAATGTTGGATCAGGCCAATGGCCCATCCAGTCCAACTCTCTGTGTCACACAGTGGCCAAAAACACCAGGTGCCATCAGGTGGTCCAGCAGTGGGGCTAGGACACCAGAAGCCCCCCCCAGCACCAAGAATACAGAGCATCACTTGCCCCAAAGTTCCTATCTATAGCTTGTGGCTAGTAGCCACCAATGGACCTCTGCTCCATATGCTTATCTAATTCCCTCTTGCAGCCGTCCATGCTTGTAGCCGCCACCACCTCCTGTGGCAGTGAATTCCGTGTGTTCATCCCTCTTTGGGTGAAGAAGTACTTCCTTTTATCCGTTCAAACCTGACTGCTCAGCAATTTCATGGGGTGCCCACGAGTTCTTGTCTTGTGAGAAGGGGAGAAAAGTACCTCTTTCTCGACCTGCTCTATCCCATGCATAATCTTATAAACCTTGATCATCTCACCCCTCAGCTGTCGTTTCCCCAAGCTAAAGAGCCCCAAGCGTTTTCACCTTTTTTCATAGGGAAAGTGTTCCAACCCTTTCCTCTTGATGTCCTGCTTATAAGTGCTCAGAAGCATCCAACTGGCCTCCCTTGGAAACAGGACACTGGGCTAGATGGCTCGTAGTTCTGATCCAGCAGGGCTTTTCTTGTGTTTCTTATATTTGGCACCCCTGTAACTTTTTAACCTAGCCTGACCAGAAAAGAGAATGTGGGAGCCTGCAGTTGTGTGTGTTAAAAAGGACCACAGTTACCTTACCTTGGATTATTACTACAGTCTTGCTTTCCATGATTACGTCCGGTGGGAATCCGTGCTTCTTCCGCATCCGACTCTTCTGTTTCACTCAAGGCGTTTTCCTCCAGGCTGTCTTCCTCTAAGCTGTCTTCCTCCATATCATAGTAAGACTGGCTCAGCAACTCTTCACCGTTACGGATCCGCTGCTGAAGTTCCAACTGATACCGCTTTTCTTGAGCGAGGCTTTCGGACTCAGACTCCAAGGAGTCATGGGTGCTTGAATGGAAATCCTCCTCGCTCAGCGACAGGCCTTCCGAGGCGGTTTCCAAGAACGAGTAATGGACGTGGGGCTGAGTCAGTCCGTTTTGCGATGGATGGCTCTCGACCATGTTGCAAGAAGTTCACGACGGGTCGTAAAATCCCCTTTGGGGTGGAAATAGGCACCACCCTTCTTCTGGAAAGCAAGAGACAAACAGCCCTATTGAAACAGTTCACATTATGAAGAAGAAGAAGAGATTGGATTTATACCCCGCCCTTCACTACCCAAGGGAGTCTCAGAGCGGCTTACAATCTCCTTTCCCTTCCCCTCCCCACAACAGACACCTTGTGAGGTAGGTGGGGCTGAGAGAGCTCTGACCGAAACTGCTCTTTTTCAAGGACAGCTGTGCCAGAACCATGGCTTGCCCAAGGTCATCCAGCCAGGTGCAAGTGGGGGAATCAAACCCGGTTCTCCAAGATTAGAGTCCACGCACTTAACCACTACGCCAAACTGGCTCCTGTAGCTATGAGAGTCTGTAGTCCCAAAGCTGAGAAGCTACCTGGAATTGTACAGTAAAAAGAGACGTATTGATTAATTTTTTAAAAAAATCTTACTTAAGTTTGGGAAGTATTCTTATTACTTAGGGGGGATGAAGCTGTTGAACAAAACCTCTAAATATGATTAAATAATTCCTCTCTATTTAATCAACTCATGCCACGGTACATCAGGGGCCTGGAGATCAAACCCTACCAGGAAAGGTGGAGGGACTTGGGAATGTTCAGTCTGGAGAAGAGGAGGTTGAGGGGGGGGACGTGACTGCTCTCTCGAAGTCTTTGGAGGGCTGTCCCTTAGAGGAGGGCAGGGAGCTGTTCTTGTTGGCAGCAGAGGAGAGGACTCTGCCATCATGGGTTTAAATTACAGGCAGAAAGATACCGGCTGGATATTAGGATTTTTCTTTTTACAATAACAGTAGTTCAGCAGTGGAATCAGCTGCCTAGGAAGGGTGGTGAGCTACACAAGAACATAAGAGACGCCAATGTTGGATCAGGCCAAAGGCCCATCCAGTTCAACATAGTCACATAGTGGCCAGAAATACCAGGTGCCATCAGGAGGTCCAGCAGTGGGGCCAGGACATTAGAAGCCCTCCCACTGTTGACCCCCCCCCAAGCACCAAGAAGGCAGAGCATCACTTGCCCCAGGGTCCCTATCTATACCTTGTGGCTAATAGCCACTGATGGACCTCTGCTCCATATACACTTAACAATCAGAGGTCATTTCGGGGGGGAACGCGGGGGAACACAGTTCCCCCGGGTGAGGTGCAGGGGGGCGGGGCACATGATGAAGCCCCGCCCCCTGCTTCTGGCCGCCCTGCTTCCAGCCCTCATTCAGCCAGGAGGAGGCAGGAGAAGAGGGAGGGTAAGTTGCTTCCTCCCCGCCTCTCCCCACCCCTGCCTGCCTGGGGCCAGGGAGGGCCTTGGCAGGGCTTCCTCGCACTCCCGCTGGCCTTGCAGGTCCACCGCCGGGCCCCTGATGTCAGGGGGTGTGGCATATGCTAATGAGTTATGCTAATGAATTCCCCTAGCTCTTTTTCTACGAAATGACCCCTGGTAACAATAATACATATTACAATAAGATAACCAATAAATGAATACTGGACCCAGAAAAGGAAGGTTAAACAGCAAGATCTATAGGCACGAGACAAAGGTGTTTGTGAGGCCTCTAAAGATGAAAGTCCTCAAGCAAATAGCAAATTGAGGACACTCTAGCTCTGACTTAGCCACACAGGTGCTTTTGGGACCTAAATTGGAAGATGTTCTAATTCAGCAACTGTGCATTTGGCACCAGACACATGACTTTCATCTTTAGAGGCCTCACAAACACCTTTGTCTTATGGAAACGCGTCAGGTCACGTGTATTGGCCCTTGTGTTTAGTCACTTCAACTTTTTAACATTGGGCCCTTATATGGTTTTCCCTGTCTTTCTAATAAATGCATGCATTTTTGTATATTCTAAGTTCCAACTAGGTTTTTAACATTGGCCCTTTATCAGACTTCTTTCTTACCCTTGTGGTTTCTTGATATAAGCTTTTGTGCTTCAGACCAACACAGCTACCCCACCTGAATCTATGACCACCAGAGAAACACAGATGCAGGATAACACAAGCACTGCCTGCATGTGATATGGCTATATGGTCTTTAAGAGCTGTGCGTGACTGGCAGAAATGCAACAGGGGAGACATCTTTCCACCACTACACCTTGATGCTGGGGCGGGGGAAGCTACACCTGCCGAACTTCCGCCTTTCAAGGTAAAGGGACAGCGCTCCTGCCAGTGTGAAAAAGTCTTAGCCCTGCACAGATTGCCTCCACCACCAAAAACATAGGGCAGTTTCTAAAATATGTCATCAGCCTCCTGCTGCCCCCCCCCCCCGTCCTGAGTCCCCCC